AACAATTTATTAAAATACAAAAAGGAGAAACAACCATATTAACAAAAACTTTACATTTTATACTTATTAAGTTTCTATTGTAACAGCTTATTCTATTTTTGTCAGGAAGAGAAAAATAACATTGAAAATATAGATAGTTTTTCCTATTTGTGGGGTTTTTCCTAACCATTCAGAAACTGTCTGAAAGTACTTTATATATTCATGCTTTTTACTATAAACTATCAAAAAAAAGAAAAAAAGAATTATTAAAGCTCAACCATCTGGTCTTTCTGTCTATGCAAAAGTACTTTGGTGTCTAATAAATTTACTTTATACATGTTTAATTAGTATGGCATATATCACTTATGTCTTCTTACAAACAAAAGTTCTGTGTCACACTAATAAAATATTATCATTTGAGTTACTAGATTTAATAGAGAGATTTAGCTTGTTCAATAAACCTTCGAACTTATAAGAATTGTCAGAAACCCATACATTTAACATTATGAGTAATAAATCACCCCTCTATGAAAAAACTATTCCATTTCTAAAGATATGTAGAATACTACCATCTAAAGGCAAGGAAGAAAATGTGTAACTTCTGGTTTAAAAATAAACTGATATAAAGATATGGATATATAGGTATAGATACAATTACATTTTACCAATGAAAAGACTATACAATAAGTGATCCACATAGTACATAACCAAGAGGAGAAATCAATTAAAGCACTTAGCTTAAAATTAAGATACTCAACCAGGAGCACAGTAGCTCTGCTTATAATCAAGTGGTCTAGACTCTAAAGGGGCTCAAACATAAACATCTCTAACAGATATTGAAAGAATTTATTACTTAATTATAAACCTAATTCCTTGAAGTTAATATTATTACTATTATATAATACCTTTACCAGCATTTAAAGATAATTATATCTATGTAATATTAACATTATATAATATCTTTTATCAATAGCATATAAATATGTAACTATTTGCTGTTGTTACTACTGCTGTTGCTGCTGCTACTTCTACCATTTACCACTTAATAAACTCTAAGATACTCCTGGTATAGAGTAAACACTTTGTATTAACTTGTTTAATCCTACTAACAGCCCTGTGAGATAGATACTATTACTGCCCCCATTTAACAAATGGGGAAACAAAAGTAGCAACAGTTTTAACCTTAATCAAGTTTACGTAGGTAGTAAAGAGCAGAACTGTGATTAAAACCCAAGGAGTCTGATCCAAGTTCATTCTCTTAACCAATAAAAACAAAACAAAAAATAAAAATAAAAAATCCACTTCTCTACCTTATTTTAACTGTTATTAATCACAGCTTATTCTGTACTTGATTTCTTTATCCTAGAAGCCTCTACATAATATTTCTTTTCTTATCTTGGTGTTAGACTCCTGCTTAGATAGCTTCTGGATATCTGAGAGGCATTTTAGAAAGAATGATAATAAAGCAATTAGAGCATTTGCCAGAGTCAAACTGTTTGGGTAGGATTTAGTTCCACTATTTGTCAGCTTTGTGACCTTAGGCAAATTATTTCTCAGAGTTTCCTTATCTGTAAAATGGGAATAACAATAGTACCTGCCTCATTAGTCATTATAAGAATTCAATTAAGATCCTACCAACAAATATTTATTGGCAACTAAAATACATCATATACTATTCTAGGTACCATGAATATATACATGCAAAAGATTGACATTATATTCTAACCAGGCAGACAAATAATAAACAAGTAGACAAATAAATTCAAATAGTAAAAGCTATGAAGAAAATAAAGTACCATGAAGTAAATGAGTGGGGAAACATTGGCAGAAGCAAACATACAGCATACATTATTACTAACAGTTAAGCATTAAAAGCTCCTAAGATGACTTCTCCAACTACAAGGCTTCTGTGAAGATAGCCAACAATTTTTTTTTCCCCACTTAGTATTCTCAAGAATTTGAAGGAAGGATCTTTGAGGACAGGTATTATGGCATTCATTCACTCCTCTACAACTAGGTTCCTAGCACTAAGTTAGGTGCTTGCAACATAAAGATGAAAAGAACAGTCACAGCCTTTAAGGAGGTCTCAGTCTACTAGAGAACTTGATGTTGTCCTTAATGAAACTTAGAGCCTGTGAAGAAGAAATAAAAGTAAGATAAGAGTAAGATAAAAACTGAGAAGTACAAGAAATATTCCAGATGGGAATCTAACTCAAAACTGGGGATGTCAAGGAAGACTTCCTGAAGGATTAGCAGAAGTTAGTCAGAAAAAAGAGTTGGGAAGAGGGCAAAGGGCTAAAGAATGCACGAAGTTTATAAAGGCTTAAACACTGTACAGGTTATCAGGAGTTTTATAAGCCATCAAAAGGCTTTTGAAATTTGTCTTCAAAATCAATGAGGTTTTCTCATCTCCTACCTGAAAAACTAAAAATATAGACAGAATATATGAAACAATAGCTTTTAAAATACAAGACATCAGGTAAGAAAGGGTGATCCCTGAGAAATAGGAAAAAAATGAGACAGGCCCTAAGATCACCTCAGCTTACTGTTTTGACAGTTTCCAGTCTGTGGCATGGAGAGGGGGAATCCAGGTATAGCCCAATATATCTGAGTTGAAGAGACATTGCCAAGAGTCTAGGGAGACCAAGAAGACTAAAGTTCACAGGGAAGAATACTAGAGTGGAGAAAGCTGAATAAATGAACTCCAGAGATCTGCAGAGGGACCTCTCAAGTATCTGGAGTACAATCCAAGATAATAGAAAGAACCACGTGAAATGATGAGAGGCACTCATATAGGGGATGGAACAGTGCCTGTTCCCACCAGTCAGGCTGAAAAAAACTTCACAATTCATGGACCATTAGGTAGAGGACTTGAAAGGAGCTAGTCTTTACTGTGGTAGTCCAAAAAGAGTCCCTCCTAAAAATCTTTAAAAGCAAGACTCAAAAGATTAAGCTGATTCAAAGAACAAAACTCAAGAGTACTTATAGAAATGCAGTACAATAACATCCAGCACCCAACAAGGTAAAATTCACAATATATTCTTACATCCCATAACAATGTTTTGGTCAATGATGGACAGCATATATGACAGTGGTCTCGTAGATTATATTGGAGTTCAAAAATTCCTATCACCTAGTGATATTATAACATCAGAGTGCAACTCATTACTCATGTGTTTGTGCTGATGCGTGGTGTAAACAAATCTACCGTGTTGCCAATCATATAAAAGTATTACATATACAATTATATACAATACATATTACTTGATAATGATAATAAACCATTGTTATGGTTTATGTATTTACTATTCTATATTTTTCATTGTTATTTTAGAGGGTATTCTTCCTATTTACAAAAAAAAATGTTTGCTGTTAAACAGTATACCAGGTTACACCAGTAGCAACCTCATCTATGTCATGTTTACCGCATCTCTTGATTGCATCATTTTCTCTTGCGCTTGAGTTAATCTCTTGTTGTATACAGTAACATGCAGTACAGACTTGTAGCCTAGGAGCAACAGGCTATACCATACAGCCTAAGTATGCAGCAGACAACACCATCTGGGTTTGTCTAAGTACACTCTATCGTGCTCACACAACAACGAAATTGCACAATGACAAAAATCTCAGAACATACCCCCATTGTTAAGTGGCGCATAACTGTATCCGGAATTCAATACAAATTACCAGGCATGGAGGGAGACAGGGTGAAGGGTGGAAAAGGTGAAGGGGAATAAGAGGTAAAAATTTCCAATTATAAAATAAATAAGTCACAGGGATATAATACACAGCATAGGGAACATAGTCAATAATATGGTCATAATCTTATACAATGTGATAGATGGTTACTAGACTTATCGTGATGATCACATTGTAAGGTATATAAAAGTCAAAGTACTGTGTTGTACACCTGAAGCTAATATAATATTGTACGTCAACTCTATTTTTAATGAAAAAAAAGCTTTCATAAAAAATTTTTTTAATTACCAGGCATGATTCCATTTACATCAGTCTCCCTTATCTATAGGAAATATGTCCTAAAACCCTGAAACCACAGATAGTAGTAAACCCTATATACCCTATATTTTTTCCTATACGGGCCTATTATAAAGTTTAATTTATGAATTAGGCATAGTAAGAGATTAAAAATAAAATACAATTATGATATACTGTAATAAAAGTTATGCGAATGTCGTCTCTCTCTCTCTCTCACTCTCTCAAAATATCTGATAACCAATCTGGTAACCAAGACGGTTACTAAGTAACTAGCAGGTGGGTATACGCATACAGTGTAGAAACACTGAACACAGGAATGATTCACATCTCAGGTGGGATAAAGCAGGATGCAGAACAGCATGCAATTTAAAACTTATGAATTGTTATTTCTGGTATTTTCCATTTAATATTTTCAGACTGTGGTTGATCATAGGTAATAGAAACCACAGAAACTGAAATCATGGATAAGGGGGGACCACTGTATATGAAACTATGGAAATGAAAACTAATCTATAGTCACTGAAAAAAAAACTGTGGTTGCACCTATTAGAATGGTTATCATCAAACAGACAAGAAACAAC